TGGCTTACAACGAATGTGGGTAAAAAGTTTAGGGTTTAGGGATTTAGGGGTTTAGTTAGGGTTTAGGGATTTAGGGTTTAGGGATTTAGGGTCTCGGGAGTTAGGGATGTAGGGATTTAGGGATTTAGGGTCTTCATTCTTTAGTGTTCAGGGTTGAGGGCTGAGGAAGGTTTATGTTCCTGACCATGGCCCAGTTGTAAGATTTTTGCGTAGGGCTTAGGATTTAGGGTGTAGGCTAAACCCTAAACCCTAAACCCTAAACCTATGTTCCCGACCAAGGCCCGCCAAATTCGAGGTTTGCTTGTGAAGGGCCAGGGTCCAGGATTCAGGATTCAGTGGCATATAGGAGAAATAGCCATCTAATATGAAGCCATTTGTAGCTGTTTATACTAAGACTCAGGGTTTCATCGGGTTTAATATCGCAAAACCTCGGAAGATTCAGGATTTGTAAGATCGAGGCTTCAGAGGCCTAAACCCGGTGTTTCGCTCTCTGGAGGCGAACATCGCCGATAGATCAAACCGAACACCTATAACGGTAGCTCCTCATCCTGACACAAATGGACGGTACTCCATGTGTTGGTCCACGATGTTCACTTTGACATGAGAGCATCTGGGTGTAGGATAAACCAAAGGCTCCATGTACCTTTATAGTAGATACTTATGCCCTAAAGTACCTATATAGGGACGGATCCCTCTAAGGCTTAAGTAACTACTACAAACGTACATGGAGCCTTTGGGTATGTAGCAAGTTGGGCTACGCTCGATATGATCAGGTCTATCGCAAGCCATTCACTTCCAAGCCTCTGATTTATAAACCAGGGTCTCTTTTGCGCACCCTGGAGCAATGCATACCCCAGGGGTTCATGTATATATATATATAGAGAGAGAGAGAGATAGATATATAGATTAAATTATACAGATAAAGATGCTGGTATAAAATAAATAAATAAATATATATATATATAGATGTACGTACACGCTTATTTGCTATTTACTTGTTTATTCATTTGGCGTTAGAGGGGTGTGTGAACGGTATGTCAGTACATGGAGCCTCCTTGTGACAGCTTGGTCTGACCATTGGGTCCTTAAAGCCCCAGAGCCCTAAACCTCAAAGCCAGTTTGGGAGTTTCCAAAAATTAGGGTACCTTATTTTGGGGTCCTTATAATAAGGATCCTACGATTAAGGGTACTATTTTAGGGTCCCCTATTTTCGGAAACCCCCATTTAGGGTTTAGGGTTTAGTCCTTAAAGCCCCAAAGCCCTAAACCTCAAAGCCTAAAACCTGAAACGTAAACACCGCCCGATGATGACCTTGCCTTTAAGGAACAGGTCCAAAAACAAGCATTAAAGTATGGTACTTCATACCCAGGGAGCATTTTCGAACCCTCTACCCTTTACCCTCATATAGGGGCCTTAACAGTTTGAATAGGGTTTTGGTGCCCATTATCTTGTATTCATAAGGAACCCCTCAAATGGTATTGGTAATTATTTCGGCTTCTACATTAAAGCCCTTAAGGGGAACCCTGAAAGCGGGGGGGGGGGGAGGGAGCCTGGGAGATCGGACAGCTTCTTGAGCAACTCGCCCACGAGTCCGGCCTGCGCGCTACTCCGAGCGACAGAGCTGCGCTTTTGGGGTTGGGGTGTAGGGTTTAGGGCTTCGGGGTGTAGGGTTTTGGGGTTTAAGGGTTCAGGGTTTAAGGGTTTAGGGTGGTCAAGGTGTAGGGAGGGTTTAAGGGCGAAGGAGCTTTTACAAGGGTTCTAGGGGTGGGGCTTACGAATTCTAGCGAGGGGTTGTCGGTGCTTCTCACCAGGGTTCTACACGGGATGTATATGGGAGTTTCATCAACGTTTCCGCGAGTTCATGATCTAAACCCTAAACCCTAAACTCTAAAAAAACGCTCAACTCTGAATCGTTCAGTGGTTCAGGTAAGTCCGGCCTGGGGCTGGATTACGGTCTTTTTAAGGGGTTTGGGGTTTCGGGGGTCTTTAGGGTTCTGGGGTTTAGCGTTCAGGTTTTAAGGCGATTTAAAGGCAGAGACAGGCAATGCAACCCTATCTATAGCGTCATACCCTACCCCTATTTTAGGGTAGCCACTTCTCTACACAGCAGATACGAACCGTTCCAACTAGATTCTTTAAAGAAGGGGTAGGGTATGACCCTCTGGGTAAACCCTAAACCTCAAGCCCCATACACCTTGAATCCTCATGCAATGTTTGGGGAGTATAAGGTTTTCAAATCTGACGTGAACTTGCTTTGCTCGGTCGACCGACCGTCCCGCTTTAAGGATTCTATGATCCAGGATCTACATTGAGGTTCCATTACAGGGTTCTGTAGGGTTCTACAATGGGTTTCCTGCAAGAGGTTCCATAAAGGCGTCGCCTGTATGGTACTCTTCCCGAGAACTATACCCTTTTTTCCTGGATGCACAAAGTATGCGAGAGTGCAACCCAGAATGGCCTGCACAAAAAGATACAATTGTCAACTCCTTAAACTTAAACCTAATAATGCCTAGACCCAAAACCCAGATCCCAAACCCTAACCTTCACAGCTATAGTAACCTTACAAAAACCTTCGCAGCAGGCAGCAGGTTCCCCTTATCAAAAAACATCATCGAGATGGCCCACAAATACTCTAATCAAACCTTAAACTTTAAACCCTAAACTCGTGACGGGCTGAACCCTCCCAGACCCTTAGCGGGTCGTTGCAGAAGAATGAGTCACCCGTGCCTGGCCCTCGTGTTTGTCATCTGCTGCCTTCACAGCCTCCTGCATGCCTTGCAAAACCTGAGCTTTTGGCGTTGGAGTCTCGAGTGCGGGTTTAGGGTTTAGGGTTTGGGGTTTGGGGGTTTAGGGTTTGGGGGTTTAGGCTTGGGGGTTGGATCTCCAAGTGGTTGGAGGTACAGACTTCGCGAGAAGGCTCGCAACCTTGTCACCCGGATTCTCGTCTTACCCCATCAAACCCTTGACGTACTTCCCGGATGCCCATGGAGTAAAACTTCAAACTCGTTTTAAAGACATAAAAGACTACTTTAGTAGAAGGTCTTTTGGACCGCTAAGCATTAAAGAGGGACCCTCCCGAAAACCCTTATGGAACAGTACCCTTATAGAACCCTTACCCCTTTATAGGAACCGTTAGAAAAAAGAACTCCCAAAAAGGCAGCTCCCCGGAATCGCGTAGCCTCGCTCATCTCCTTGGCTCTTGCGACCTCCTTCTTCACCTCCGCCTCCGGGAGGGCTTGGGACTTAGGAGTTTGGAGCTTAGAGGTTTCGGGTTCAGGTTTAGGGCTTTGGGATTAGAGGTTAGAGGTTTAGGGTTGAGGGTTTAGGGTTAGCGGTTAGAGGTTTAGGGTTTTGGCTTTGGGGTTGAAGGGTTAGGGTTCTAGGGTTCAGCGGTTCTGTTTGCGGGAGTTATAGAGGCCCTTAAAAACTCAAGAGCTAAAGAAAAGCAGGTCGGTTTGGCAAAAAACAGTCACAGATTCCTATTCCTTTTTGACACCTTATCGTTGTATGTTATTATTAGTATTATATATATATATATATATATTCTCGATTTACAAGCCCAAATCAAAGTTATGTTTATCTCTGTTGCTCCATGGAATGACTGCCTCCGTCCGTGACAAAGCTTCTCCAGTTCTAACTGAGGACGGGGACTCGAGTTTGGGTACTAACGGGACAAGGGATCGGCCTCTCGTGGCATCGCACGCGCCACACAGCGGGTTTCCCTGACCCAACCATCCCCGACCCACGGGCATGTCGCATGTGTGACTTGCTTGGCCGAAGACAAGGAAAAGGGACTACTCAAGTCCACTTTTATGCCAGGCGGCGCGACACCCCGAACCGGGAAGCTGTGAGGGCCTCGCTCATGTGCTAACCACAGTTCTCCTCCCGTGAAGTTCGCGGTGAGAGCGACCAGGGCTCCAGGCACTTCCCAGTTTCTTGCGTCCGTGTGTGGCGGGCTCGCCACATTAGCGATATGGAGATAGATGTGAAATTCGCATCGGGCATCCACTCTTTACAAACCGAGTGAGTGTACGAGTCGTCAAAGGGTATCGTTTGCTCATTACATTGCGGTACATCACATATATACATATATCCGGACCGTACGCCATGTGCATACATATACTATATCGCTGCGTGAGCCTGGGCACTTCCGTGACACAAACACAGAAAACACCGAGTAGTCACACGGGAGCCTACACATCCTAAATCCAACGACCAGAAAGACGGCCATCATAGCCCTGACACCTTAAAAATCCTGAGGCCCTGAACTCTAGACCCATAGCAGGGTTTAGAGTTTCGGGCTTCGGGTTTAGGGTTATGTATGCACTCATGGATAACACCCTGAACCCTTGTTCAGGTCCCAAGCAAAAGATCTCTGTCAAACGCTTAAAACAAAAACTTCTGAAACCCAACGCGCCCCTCACAGCTCCATGCCCAAACAAGCTGCACCCCCCAAAGGGTCCCAGGTACTGCTATAGGGAATACTGTCCCAAATCATACTAAGGATTCTCAATATAGACACCCTACATCTACTATACGGGTAGTCGTCTAGATTGGGGTCCCTGCATATAGACGGCACCCTTATTAAAAGGGCCCGAAGACGGCCCCTGTTTTAGGAGAACTACCCTCCAACCCTAAACCCCAAACCATAAAGATCCCCTCATCGATCCCTTAAAGGAACGCTATAAGAAACCCTTATAGATCCCCTAAAGGAACCTTTTAAAGGGACCCAAAGTACCGTTTGGGACCTGGGTGGGCGCCTTGAAGAGGTCGCCTGCGTCGGTCGAGGCATTTATTACAGATGTTCAGGGCCTCCTTTCGGGGCTAGGAGGCTTAGGGTTTAGGCTTTGGGGGTTTAGGGTTTAGAGTTTAGGGGTTTAGGGTTTAGGCTTTAGGGTGTAGGCTTTAGGGGCTTAAGGTTTAGAGGTTAGGGGTTTAAGGTTTCGAGTCTAGGGGTTTTAGGGCTAAGAGTTTGGGGGTTCTTAGGGGCTCAGGGCTTCCGGGTCATCTAGACTGAACCTGGGACCCTTGCACAACAACTGTAATTTTTGCTGTTTCTCAGGGATGGAAATAATTAACCAAAAAACATGAATTATTTTAAGCACCCCTATATTACATGTTTCATGAGTTTCAGCAATGAGGGCTCAGCGACCCTAGATACTAGGTTCGAAAACATCGACCCGGAACCTGCTACGGGAGAGAGAGGCAAGCCTCCCGAACATAAACCCCCAAACCCGGTACATCCCGAAGCCCCCCAAACCCTGAACCCTCATCGATTCCTTCTTGTAAACCTTCTGGAAACCCTTGAAACACACTCCAAACAAAAACCCAAACCCTAAACCCCAAATAGAGAAGACTTACCGTATGCCTTGCAACTTATAGAACCCCTTATAGAGAAGCCTTCGAGGAACCTTTATAAACTTATAGAAGCCCTTAACACTTCTAGAAGCCCTCCTGAGCATATGCACCCTCACAACTTTTCGAAACCTTTCAAGACTTCATGATTTACCTGCAGTGGGGCGCTACACGCATCCCGTTGGCGAGGCTATCTTTGCTTAAGACGACCTAATCAACTTACAGAAACCGCTCTAAACCGATAGAAACCGTTTTTAAGCAAACAGAAACCCGGAAACAAAAAAAACACCAAAAACACCGCCTGGAGGCCCAGGAGGCATCCCGGGGCTGAAGGGCGGTCCTCCTCCTTCGCTCCTGCACGGCTGACTCCAGGCCTTAACTAATTACCCTAATTACTACCCGAATGCCCTAATATCCTAATATCCTACAAGTATCCTAATACTCCTTCGGTCCTGCACTGCGGAGGTCCGGGAGAGTGTTGCCGCATGCAGGGTTGGGGGCTTTGGGTTTAGGGTTTAGGGGTTCAGGTGTCGTGTGTTTCAGGTTTGAGGGTTTTGGGCCAGGGCTTAAGGATTTTGGGGTTACGGGTTTGGGGCTTTCAGGGTCTATCTGTCTTGCAGATCATGTTGTGATGATGTTCTGATGGTGGCTCGGCCCATGGCGAGGGTGGCACAGTGGCAATGATGCAGACTGCCGGGGTGCTGTTGATCGTGATGAAGATGATGGTGATGATGATGGTGGTGATGCCGGCCATGATGGTGAAGGTGGTGATTAATGATGATTTAATGATGACGACCACAAAGTGGTGATGAAAAGATTGAAAAGCAGAAGAGATACTTGATGCTGCTGACGAGGATGGAAAGGTCATGATGACAACCACAATAGCGAGGGTGACAGTGACAAACACAAGAGGTTGTTGCTGTTGATGACGAACCATAAACATATCTGAATACTTGGTGATCATGTCTTGCTGTCGTCCTTACATGTCTGTACTGTTACAAAACAATACCCCACAAGGCCTTTCTCCTTGTTAAGGCACGTCTCTGTTGTACAAACCCTGTAGCGGCCCTCCTAGATCCGTTGAGCAAGCCTGTTCTAATCCTGGAATCCTAAAGTAAGCGCAGAGTTGTTGACGATGATGTTGCTTGAGGATTCTGAGGATGGTGATGATGTGCGCGAACCCTATAAGCCCTAAACCCTAA